GTGGCTGTGGATACTCTGGACTCTTAGGCACCAGATAGGGGAAATAACTAAGGTTTTTAGGATTTAATTTATGAATTACCATATAGCCCATTCCTAAGCATTTCTACCCTGTCCTTCTGTTACGTATTTATTTACATATGAGATGAAAATGTAGTCCATATAATGACCTGTATGCAAATATTTATATCAGCTTTTTTCATAACAGCAAGATTGGAAGCAGTCCAAATGTCCATCAACTAGTGAATGGATAAACAAATTATGGCATATCCAAAACATTAAATACTGCTCAGTAATAAAAGGATTGAAGTACTGGTACATGTAACAACATGGGTGGATTTCAAAAATATTATGTTATGTGAAAGTGGATGCCGGGAGCTGGAGGTTAAAAGGAGAGGATTGAGTATAATGGAGTAGTGGAAATTACCTCCATCTTGATTGAAGTGGTAGTTATATGACTGTATATGGTGGTCAAAAATCATGGGAGTGAAGATTTTAAAGAGGGTGAGCAAACCTCAATAAACTTGACTTTAAAAACACCCACCCATACATAAGAGGGTTCTCAATTTTCTTCCTCCTTCAAAAAAAGGACATTAAAACAATAAAAACTTTTTAAACGTATCCACTGGGCTAAGATCAAAGTGTTTGATTATGTGTTTCTATAAGGGTAGGAGACTGTGATAAGTGGTAGCCCTCTGCCCCCCTTAAATTTCTGAGGGATATGCCTATACCCTTTGACTCAGAAATTCCACTTTGAGGAATTATTTTTACAGGTAAGATATGTGCAAAGAAAGAGTAGTTTTATATTGTTTACCATAGCAAAACCCAGGAATCAACCTTAATTTCTAATAATAGACACTGGACATTGAATTAACTATGGTATACACACACACATAAAATAAAATACTGTGACATAGATATAGAGGTATGACAATTAAGTTCATGAACTCATTCTAGAAAAAATACTACATACTTCATTGCTGAGTGTTGCTATGGCCACCTTCGAAGTACTCCCCTTGGGACGCTATGCGCTGATGCCAGCTCCTAGTCCATCCTTCAAAGCCATTTTGGAATTCTTTTTCTGGAGTGACCATTACTGTTTTTGTTGTCTGGCACACAAAAACACTCAACAACAATAATGAAAGCAAGACACTGCCATGTGCCGACACAAACATAGCTATGAGATACTGGTATACCAAGGTTATGAAACCTTATCAAGTGGTTTGTTCAGTGGGGCCAATGAGTGCATTGGTAAGTTCATGAACTTAATTGTCAGACTTTTGTATGTTGACGGCTCTGGTCATTTCTGGTCATTCCAGTAAAAGAGTTTCAAAAATGCTTTGAAGGGTAGACTAGGTGCTCAGTTGCATAACTTCCCAAGGGGAGTACTTCCAAGGTGACCATATAATATTTAGCAAGGAGGTGGGTATCACTTCTTCTAGGATAAGTTTGCGACCTTAATTGTCAGACCTCATATGTTTATGGCTGATATGGAACAATTTCTTAGGATATCATTAAGTGAGGCTGGGCATAGTGGCTCACTCACGCCTGTAATCCTAGCACTCTGGGAGACTGAGGTAGGTTGATTTCCTGAGCTCATGAGTTCGAGACCAGCCTGAGCAAGAGTGAGACCCTGTCTCTGCTGAAAATAGAAAAAAGAAGTCAGGTGTTGTGGTGGGCACCTGTAGTCCCATTTACTTAGGAGGATTGTTTGAGCCCAAGAGTTTGAGGTTACTGTGAGCTATGATGCCACAGCATTCTAGGACCACAGAATGAGAATCTGTCTCAACAACAAGGTATTGTTAAGTAAAAAAGGTAGTGCACATTTGTGGTTTTAGAAAGTATGTGTATTCATATATATGCCTGTGTGTGTGCAGGCTGTCAGGCACTACACACAAAAAATAACAGGCATTAGCAGTTGCCTTTGAATGTTTGTTTCTTTCTTTCAGATTATTTTTGACATGTGCATATTACCATACCAGTTAAAGAGGAAAAAATTTTAATTTGCATGTATTATAATGTATTATTAGGAAATTCAGGAGTAGGTAGGTAACTTTGCTAATCCTTTCCTTCAAAATGTTCTTCACTTCCTTTGTCGGCAGCATGATAGCAGGTCCGACGGGGTTTGACTTTCCAAAACCACCTTCCTTTATAACCATCGCTTCCAGTCTGTGCCTTCTAATTTTCTGCATTCATGTGGCAGTAGGTTGAGGAGAAAGTACACTCTACTCACTTCCCCCCAGGGAGCCTTTTTGTATACTGGACTGCTTCTCTCGTTTAGATCCATTTTACTAAGTACCACAGTGGTTAGGGTGGCAGAAATGTGCTGCATTTTGCAGAGCGTTGTAAGTGATGTCTGTGCCACATATCCTCAGGCCACCAGGAAGCTTCTGTAAGTGAGGGAGCATCAGGAGGGAAGTGTGGAAATTGGCAGCACTGGCTGAAAATGGGGTAGCTTGGGAGGCTGTATTCAATTTAGTTAGGATATTAAATGAATTAAAATGGATGTGCTCAAGTTATGTGCCTTGCCTCATCAGTGCTATAAAAAGCCCTTTAGCCGGGCTGTAATTTGACTCTCTTCTCTATAATGTTACGCAATATTCCTATGGTTACAGAGCCTGAATAAGTGGAAGCTAATCATTGGTTTGCTAAATGTGGTTCATGGAATAGTTCACAACTCCCAGACTTGCCAACTGCTGCTTGTTTAGTTTCACGTTCACCCTTCTTGGGTAGAAGTTAGTTTGTTCCTCAGAAAAATGTACAGTAATATTTGTCTCACATCCAGGAGCCGGGCAGCATGGCAGCTCTCCATCAGTCTTGGGATAGGAAGGAAAAAAGGTCATGCTAAGCAAAGTATTCTGATACATGCGCTTCTTTAGGGTACGGAAGATTTCAAAGCTGGGAATTAAAGTTGTAGAACTTTGGGGTAATAGGAAAGTCACATTTTGTGAACTCTTCAGAGATTTACTGTGATAGAACTCTATAGACTAGACCATTCTGTGGCCCCAGAAATTAAATTATGCTCTTTAGATTTTTTTTCTCATTTGTTTCATGTGATAAGAAAATCTTCATTATTGCCCAAGGTCACCTGCAAACATCACACAGGTGCTTTGCCTTTAGGAGCCACAGGGTTAGGAGCTGGATTCCTTTCTTCTCTCTTCTCCCAGTGTGTGTGTGCTCAGGGGAGTATACACAGAGACGTAGGTACCAGCTGGACTTGTGCCCTTATGTACGTCCTTCCACCATTCATGAGTATTTGGCCTCTTCCTACCAGGATGAAAGTGGGTTCTTTCCCAGTAAATAGAAAATGTATTTTGCCCACCTATGACGCATTCTCCTTTTCCAGCTGACAGGCTATATGCCCTGCCCTGCAAGAGGAATCTTTTTGTAGTTGATGTCCTAGAATTCCTCTTAGAGACTGTCTATAAAGAGACAGTTCAGTGGTGTTTCTCTTTACCTGGTGTATCTATCCTTTAGATCTCTTTGCATTGTTTAAAAAAAGAAAAAAAAAAGCAACAGCCAGAAAACCTGATCTAACCTGGCTTAAAAAGAAAAAAAGGAATTTGTAATTTACATGAGTAAGAAGGTATGGCCAAATGCCAGGGCTAAAGACCCACTCTGTCTCAAGGTTTGCTGAACTCCCTTTCAGGCTCTAACTGGTGGCAGCAGGCAGTCACATAACCTCCCACGTGCAAGCCCAGCAAATAGGAAATGTCTTTTCTCCCGTCTCCTGGAGAAGTCCTGAAGTTCACTCAGATGAGGCTGGTTTAGGTCTTGGGCCATCCCTCAGCTGATTACTAGGTCCACAGAGATGATAACGCTTTTTGTCAGCCTTTCCTCAGTCTCATTCCCCACCCCTGGAAGGAGCAGGAAAAGGGAAGCTCTTCAACCGAAAATGAGGCCCTGCACAGAACAAAAGGGAATGGGAGCTGGTGGCTACATAACTAGTCTTCAGCCAACATGAGGAAGCTGAATTCTCCCCTAAAGGCACAGAAAGTCTCCACTGCCCTCCCTCCAGTTTGCATGTGACCTGACCCAGCACACCAGGGAGAAGATGGGGTTTTATTAAGCAGTTCATACTCCCCCACCTGTGGAGTAAATTATGGAGTATTATTACCTTCCTTTGTGCTATTCCAGGGGACTGTGAGAATGATCTCTCTTCTTTTAAACACACACTTATGTAAAACATACGCATTTATTTAAAAGTCTATGCAAGAGGAGCTAAAAGAAGAAATTATGAGGAGCCAATATAATTATGTGGTTCTCATTATACATCTGAGCTTCAGGAAGTTTTTAAAAAATTATAAAAGTAATAGAATAAAATCATTGTATAGAAAATATAAAACCACAATTCCACTACTCTAACCCAACCACTATTTTAATTTTAGAGTATTTCCTTTCAGCTTCTGTTCATATGAATTTCTCACTAACTTTTATATCTTGGTATTTGTTTTTTGTTTTTACTCAATACAACCATTTTCTGTGTTGCTTTACGGTAACTGTTGTAAACAGCAACATATTCCATCAGATAGGCATGCTATAATTCACCTAATCATTCTACTCTCACATACTTAAGCTGTCTTCATTTTGTTTTTTCTAATGTTATAAAGAATAGTATGTACTGAACGTTTCTAAAGTCTGTGACTTTTCTCATGCCTTATCTTATTTCCTGAGATTAGATTGTGAGAAAAGGGATTGTGGATTCAGAGGATATAAACATTTTTAAGACCCTTGATACATATTGCCAAATCGCTTCTCAAAACTATTGCATTTATCCTACGGCCTCCCGCAGTTTATGAGAGGATCAGTTTCACTGCATTCTTACTGGCAATAGATATTTGGATTTTTAAACATTTTCCTAAGTGAATATGCAAAAATATGTGTCATTTTTGTTTTAATTTGTATTCCTCTGGTTACTGAGAAGGTTGGATGCTTTTAAGTGTGTGTGTTTATTAGCTACATTTTATTCTCTGCCTTATGTGTTGTCTTTTTCTTCTTTTTAGACCCCAAGACAGCTTCTGAGACAGAAACTGATATCTGTGCTGAATGGGAGATAAAGACCATCACTAGTGCTCTGAAGACCTACCTAAGGTAGGGACTTTCCATTTGCAGGGCAAGGTGCCAGCTAGTTATCGTGCAATCAGGAAGAAAGCAGTTTTATTTTCAGCCTCCAGAGAGCTGTTGGGTGGGTGTTTGAGATGTGGAAACAGCTTCTGTGTGGGAGCATTTAGCTCAGCTGGTCAAACCAATTGTAAATCCTCTATAACTGATGGGTTGTCATTGTGCAAGGGGGGCAGGAGTGATCTGGGAAACTGTGCCCTTGATGAAAAAAGCACTATGATAATTAGCCTCAAACAGAATCTAAAATGTGGTCTTCCCTGACATCCCTAAATAATCTTTAAGAAAACCAGGAATCCTGTATCACATTCTTTTGAGAATACCTGAGTATATACGCTCTGTACTTTGCTAATTTTGTGTATTATATAGAGTAGTTGCTGATACTGTTCCTTAAAAATGAGAATTTAATGAAATTCCTTTTTGATTCTTCCCACTTAGATTAGAAAACATTACCTTCCTGTAGAGACTATTTTTCCTTGTACTCATATTTATGATATTACTGCTACCTCTCTACCCCTCCTTTGGTTATTCAGAGGTAGGTTATTGACCTGCAGCCTGCATATCAGTGTCATAAATAGACTGAAATTTCTGCTGGCTTTGAGGGACAGGAATATTGTAGTTTTCTTACATGGAAAGGTCATATCCAGTCCTGAATAGAAAGAACTGTGATCAGAAATTGCATAAGCCTTTGTACAGGTTTGGTGAAGATGAACTTGGCTGGAAAGCAGAGGAGGAAGGCCACACACAGAAAAGGAATTGATGATGCAAGTTTTATTGGCTATTGGGGAATGAAGGCAAGAGTGAGATGTAACGTAAATGTTGACTAAGAGGTTAACTAAGGGATCCACCGAGAGGAAAGCCTCAGCCAAGAATAATGTACAGTTTGTTGCGAAGTTATTTGAATTACCAGGAAAAACTCAAGTTTATGGTTAAAACATATTCAGATGCCAGCAGTTTAAAATTTGCTTGTATCATAATCCAATGTTAGGGGTTCTAGCCCTCTGGTATTCTGGAGCAACACTCCTTAGTGAGTTCACCATGAGCACACCTACAAAAGTCTCTCCAAGTGTTTCTAGGTGAACTGACTCTGACAGCAGGCTGCCGGGAAGATGAGTTTAAGCTCAGGTAATTGCAGACATGTACTGAGTCGCCTGTTTCTCAGACACATCTTAAAATGCTCTTGTTGATGGGTGAGTCACTGACTGAAAAGGAAATCTCTTGGTTTGTGCTAGACTTTTGCATTAGCACTCTATTAGTCGTGACTGTGAAACATGATTGTGCCCATATCCTTAAAAAAGAGAAAGAATGAAAATTTCTGGTGAAATCACAGAACTCTTTCAATAGGGAAACTAAGTTAAGTTGCCATTGTTCCCCTGTGATCTTTGTCTTTGAGAAATGTAATAAAGTTTGGCAGTCTCTAAGCTGCTATTTGGAGACCATATAATTATTTTATTATTAAGCTGACTAGCCTATACTCTTTTATTCCAGAATGCTTCCAGGACCACTTATGATGTACCAGTTTCAAAGAAGTTTCATCAAAGCAGCAAGTAAGTCTTTTTTTGTCTCAGTGCTAAGGGGAAGAGAATAGAGTTTGCTATTTCAAAGAACAGTCAGTATCTCAAAATAAATATTACCTAACCTTTCGTAGTCTACATGTAAACTGGCCATATAACATGGTCATGAGATTTGGACACAGAATAAAAAGGAGGATTGCTAAGGGTCTTGGTACCATGTTGAATTTACAGCAGAGGAGAGAAACTTTACAAATGTTTTGTTTAGGAGGAAAGGGGTGATGGGGGAAGCAGAAGAAAAAAGCAAGCTTGCCTTTCTAGTTTTGATTACTGGAGTCCTAACTTCTAGGGGTTTTTTACAGCCTTTGAGTAGCATTTTGCAGAATGAATCAGACATTGCACATTACCTAAATTGAGCTTTGGAAATGTTTCCCTGAATATGACACCATTTATATAACTTCACAGTCCTCTTTCCATCATGTCTTCCATTTACAGCTTCAGATTATTCTTCAGCTATATCATCCAGGTCCCTAGTGTCATATTGCTGGTATTAAAATACATAGGGATTAGGTGCAAGCTGCCCTTAGTATCCTGGAATCTGTCTACGTGGGGCAGGCCTCCCATAAGGGGTCAGAAAGATTCTCTATCAGATTTAAATCTGGCATGAGGCTTCACAGTATTATTATGTCGATAGCTTGTGCCTCTCCCTGGCTCCTTTCAGCCTTTAGAGTTTGTTTACCCAGGTAGCTACTACTGGCCTAATTTAGTAGCACCTAATGTTCTACCCATAGTTTTCCCTTAAAACAGGGAAGAGAAAGACATGAGAGAGAGCTAGAAGTGAAGATGGTATTCATGTGATTTTTTGCTCAGAGAAATTGCAACCCCATAGCAACCATTCTCTAATTAAACCTCACATCAGTCCTATAAATAGGTGTGATGAGTACCATCAATCTATTTGCCAGAGAAACAAAGCCATTTACCCAAGTTCAACCAAGAGAAGGTGATAAGCCATCATTTAGGGTACAGGTTGGCAGAAAGATTTAACTATTTGATCTGCCATTGCTTGCTTTCTGCCCGGCTGTTTGTCATATGTGACTTGAGAATACTGGGCATTTCTTCTGATTTCCCTCATGCTTTCTTGAGGTGCTATTTTGATACTTGAGACCCTTGCAATGCTGTTCATGTAAGACATGTTTATCACTTTACAAGTGCATAAAGTTCCTTCCTTCCTTGAAACAGAGTCATCTCTCGAGGGAGCCAGCTGCTCCTGAGCTTGTTCTGTTCTGGGTATGCAGTCGACTGGCTGCATTTCTTCACGTCATCATCTTGGCTTGAATTTTTTGATGGTAATTTTTATGGTGAACCCTGTTCCAGAAGCACCATTAAAAGGACTTTTAGTCATGCCAGTCAGACAGTATGCACGCAATACAGGGTCATAAATCTTTGCAAAATCCTTGTTCTGTTAGTGCCTAGTCTTTGATTTCTCTTGATTATTCATCTCATAAAGTGGTTCAGCTGTGACACTGATAAAATATTGCCTCCCTCCCTTCACAGAGCTGGAGAACCAGGAATCTCGGATATCTGAAATCCACAGCCTCGTTCATCGGCTCCCAGAGAAAAATCGGCAGATGTTACAGCTGCTCATGAACCACTTGGCAAAGTAGGTTTAAGACCAATTGTTGGCCCTTTTCTCACCCCCAGAAATTTCTTATCTTAGCAAGAAAGCTTGTCTTGGTTCTCCTTATGTGTCCTGCTCCCACTATTGCATCAGGTATGCTGGAGGCTTAGGAAAGAAACATGTGAAATGTTAACCTCAATGGAGAACAGCAGCACTGCCAGATGGCCTCCGCACGGGAGGCCAGGGACGTGCCCGGATGACCAGGTCATCAGACGGAGTCATATGTTCTCATGATGATCAGGGGCAAACACGAGTGTGTTGTGAGTTTACAGAACTTAGCTTAGAGTAAGGAGGCCTGGATTCTAGAGACGACTCTGTTCATAACAAGGCCCTTAACCAGCCCTGGACAAACCCCCTAAAGCTTCTATTCTTGGTTACTTCATCTATCATATATGGATAATAGACCCCCACTTTATCTACAAGGTCATTGATTTTAAAGGTTACATGTATTAAAGCCTTTGAAGAAGTGTAAAGAAGAAGGGATTATTTTTGGCAAATGTTCATTTGCCTTCTGAGATAATCAAAGCATTCAGTAGGGGTCTGATTTTCCTGCTAGGATTATTTACACTCTTGGAATGGCTTTTGATTTTTGTGTATTTAACTATTGCCTGACCCTTTTGAATGGCTTTGCTGACTTCCTTGCTGTTTCAGTCACAACTTGTGTGTTCTAACCTTCCCTTGACTTTGATAGTATGTTCTTGATTGCACAGTGGAACACAAGAAAGGCCTGAGAGTGTAACAGTTAACCTAAATCATTAAGTCATCCATTCTCCTGAACTGAAGTTGTAGATTTAGCTCTTCCCCACAGTTTGCTCATACTATTATTTCTTTGGGATAAGTTGATATTCTTCTGAAGGAGATTGTGGTGGTTGGTTTTCATATTTCTGTTCAGTGTTTGATATCACCTTTGGGGGAGAGAATGTTTACTGTAAAGATTTCCACAATTTCCTCATTTTCGTTAAGAAATAAGAATGCTTTGTGTGTTGATGGGAAGTAGCTGGGTAGACCCATGGTTGTTCCTTTATTGACCAATTCTTTTTCTTTCCTGGTCATATCAGAGTTGCATGCTCAGAAATAAGTAACATGGTAGAGAACATACAAGTGCATAGGAGAAGAACACCCTCCCGCAAACGTCAAAGAAGCCCAATGAAATGTGTTTAGAGTAATGGGAGCTAAGCTTTCCAAAGTAACTCCAGATGCTATGAGATGACAGTTCAGTATCTGTACCACAAAACCAAGTGTGAGGAATTTATTAAACAGAAAAGCTGGTTTAGACTCTAGTTGTAAAACTCTGCACACACAAAGGCAAGCCCCCAAACGTGGGAGGCTCTAGGTATACACGCCAGCTAACTATACCTGGGGAAGCTCCTGACTGCTTTGTGACTGCTGGGGCTAAGGGAGGCCTTCAGACCTGGTAGGAGCAGCTAGAGAAGGGTTAGGAACCAGCTGAACCCAGCAGGTCTTCTCAAGGAGAGCTTAAGTTGTTCAAGGGAGACCAAGAGTCAATAGTGATCCAGAGAGCCATTATTAATTTTTTTCATTTTTAAATTGCCCTGAGGATTGTTAGGACTTTTTAAGTAAGCAAAACAAACAAAAATCCCTTAAGGTAGATCTTGAACAGTTGAGCTTGTAGATGGCTTTCTCCTTCTTTTCCCACTCTTTCTGACCCCAATCCTGTTGTGTTCAGTCCATCTGTGTTCCTAACCTGAAGAGCAGTACAACTAGAGTGTGCAGGTCACAGCTGAGACCTTGACTTTTGCCTTCTAACTAACTTAAACCATTTGTGTTGCTGGAGTTATTTATTTTATAGCATTTCTAGAGTGTTATGTCTTGCCTTGAAACTCGAGGATGATTTTCTTTGGTTTTATGGCATGTCTCATTTAATCCTTACGAAGTTTATGTATAGATAAGTGCATGTGCCATAAAGGGAGCTGGTCAGAGCTGGTATTAGAACACTCATACTCAAGTTCTCAGCATTCTGTGTTCTTGGTCTCCCAAGTCTAGGTTAAAATATCCTTGAAGTATGTATAAATGAGTGCTGTTGAATCCTGTAAAGAGTATTTATTCAGGTCTGAAAAAATTCTTTGGCACCCAGAGGAGTTCTAAGATTCCAGTTAAACTTTGTTCTCATTTACAGCACTGTCCTTATTTTAAAATCGAGCAGTAAGGGAAAGTTAACTTGGGACAAGAGGCTTGTCTAATTCCAGTTTTCTCAGGTTTAGACTTACCCTGGGATATCGCCTGAGCTATTGTTCCTCTGGGCCACTTACTTAATGGTCAGCTTCCTTCCTAAGTTTTGGTTTCAGGGCTGATTCTGCTGGAAACCGAGTGTTTACTTCTCTCATTACCTACTGTTTGCCTTATGCATCTCAGGATTCTGGTTCAAAGGCAAGACATTTTGTATTGTGTGTTTTTTAAAGTACTCTTTTCAAACATCTTCTGAAATTGTTTTCCTTTAGCTCTGGTGAGAGAGTTAGGGTATTTTACATTTAATCCCAAATAAAAATGCATTCAAAGAGGAAAAAACATCTTGGAGGGAAAGGATAAAAACTCCAAACCTCTAAGCAAATGATTACCAGGGTACATTCAAATCATAGAGATGTTGGGTTTCTTTCAGACCTCAGAGGGAACATAAAAATTATAGGAAACCGTGCACATATGTTTGTAGTTCCAGCTTAAATCTACTATGATAATTAGATGTTTTCTACTTAGATCTTAGAATCCAACATACAGTCTGGAGTCATGTGCCTCAAAGCATGGTTTCAGATCACCTGGGGTGCTTGTTTACATGGACATTTCTGGGCCCCCGGTGTGGGTCTCCCAAATCAAGCCCTATGCCTGGGCATACACGTTTCTTATTTATTTCCTGGGTAATTATTATGTCAAAAGTCTTTTAAGAACTACTGGCCTGAGAATGGGTTAATGCAAGGATTCTCTAGGGGAGAGGAATATTGAGAGAAATGGGAATGGGAATTGAGGGGGGTATTAGAGACAGGGAGGAGAAGCTCAAAGCAGCAACTTCAAAAAGGAGATTTTGTTGTCATGATTAAATTAGTAAAGAAAAATTTAGTTTTGGTTTTCCAAGTCTTTACAGTTCGATTTTATGTTATACTTAGTTTTCAGCAAAGGATTTTGTTTTAAAATCATGTATAAGGCATTTTGAATCATGAAGAAAATTATCCCCAGCTTGCTGTGGATTCTTGTGCAAATTAATGAACCTTTTTGAGCCTCAGTTTCTGTGTTTCCCTTGAATCATGTGATTCTGTGTTTTCATGGGTGGGGACAAGAAAAAAAAATCCCAATCTGATAATTGGAGAAGGAAATAAGAGTAGATGAGTAATAAAGACTCATTTCATGGTAGTTTCATAATGTTTACATATTGTGATGACTCCAAGTATGTTGTATATCCCCTCACATACCATTCATAGTGGCTCATCGTAACTTTATTACAGTGTTTATGCTGTGAGGGAGGATTTCAAAGGAATCTCCATACATCAAGAATAGCTATTAAAAATACATTTTCACAGCTTGTTTTCCCAAAACACTTATTGAGAAATAAATCTTAGTCTCTTTCCTTTTTGGAGCAGCCATTCACTTTATTGCAAGGGTGTTTTGGAGAGGCAGAGCACTGGCTTGCCTCTCCAAAGAGGTTTTATATCTTTTAGGATGTTTTTGACTACAAGAAACAAAAATCCGATTCAAAATGGCTTAAACAACCAGAAGATGTGTTGTTTCATTTCACAAAATCAGTGCAGAGAGTTGGTGAATTTCTCGACTCAGGAGGGACTCAGGCTATTTCCACGTTCCTGCTCCACCAGCCTCATTGTGTTGACTAGCTCTTCTCAGGGGCACCAGATCTTACACTGTGCCCTTGCACATTATCCAGAGGCAGAAAGGCATTATTTTTTCTTGGAATCTCATTTTAAGGGCTATGATGATGCTTTTCCCAGACATTCTCCAGTACACCTTGTATCATATCTCATTGGTCCAAAGTAATCACTGGGAAGGGGGAGGGGGTGCCACCATAGTTATTTTACACCAAACAAGATTTATCTGTGCCACCTGTGGGAGGCTTGGATGTCAGAAGAAAAGCAGAGTTTTGAGTAGGCCGCCCACGGTGTCTGCTTCAAGGAGTCTTGGTAAATAACATTCAAGAGAGAGCATTAAGTCTTTTGAATGATCTTTGCATGGTATGCTGAGTCTGTCAAAACTACAGAACGAAAAGGCCAATTTGGGAGGGGAGATGCTTATGCAATGTGAACATATGTACACTAAGTTATAAGATTTCAGGGAGTAGAAGGTAAGAGAGAGTAATAAAGAGGAGAAGGTTGACTTTTGTACCATTGCTTCTTGCTGATCCCTTATTGTTCTTTTCATTCCCCCAATTGTCTGGTGTTTATTTTGATCTTCTAATACATGTTGTGACTTTCCAAACTAGACAAAATTCTGGAGATTGCAAGGTTCATGGAGGAATAGCGTGGGGCAAATGCTTGGCTTGCAAGTGAGACTTTATCAAACTCCGTAGACTCTCCATGGGCAGAAGTTATCCAGAGTTGAGTATGTAGTGGCTTGGCTTTTTTGTTTGGTTTTTTTTTTCCTGTTCTGTGACTAGAGTCTTGAGTACTTAGGCATCCCTGCAAATCAAAAAGGATGTGTTCATGTTTTCTTAATGAACTAGAAACAGTGAATTGGGTTCATGGGCAAATGCCTGTGGTTATAAGTAAAGTTATTGCCAACACTTGGCACCAAGGAGGATGAGGCCTGGGGATTAAGTAGTATTCCTGGAAGTTCTTTAGAAGGTTTCAAAATATAAAGAAGTGGACATTGATACTTGGTGTTACGTATGTCTGACAGATACTCTGATATTCCTTCTTTCTCCATCCCAAGTCTGGAAGATAAGATGTAGCATAGTGATGAGCTATTAGACATGTAAGAGGAGCTAGTTATTCCGTTGCCATTAACTAGTGCAAACAAAATAGCTA